GATCTACCACGGAGGGCGTACCTGGTAATAGCGTTAGAGCTCTTTGTGGATGCCTGAACTGTACCTGAAATGGTCAACGCAGGACTTTGGAGCGACACATGTTGAGGATTCATCTGGGGGATTCCACCGTTGAGAAAAATGGCGACTTTGGGGTAAGAGACCGAGTATTGACGTGGGTCTCCCATTCTGCCCGTTGTACCTAGATTCAGCGAAATGACTGGTTAACAGGCATGAGATAGCTCGCTTTTTGATTGTCATTGTATTGGATATAGATCTAGATAACGGGGCTAGATGTGTTTAGAACTGTCCATGGTATCATTATTGCATGATAACAATATTGCATGAGTTTTACACAAGATTCCATTGATTGAGACCATATTAGGAAGTGCAAGGTCTGCACCGGTCACAACAGTGAGAATTCGAAGGAAATGAGGGTCGCCACCGCTTCCAGCTGGATGCCCGATGACATCACATAACCGAAAGTGGCATGATATTTATGTGCTTGCAGAACCACGTTATCAGTAGATGTAGGGCTATAGGGGTGCAGCTTTGAAAAATACACTGGAGATAAGGGAGGAGTGAGCGCGAGAAGAAGAATAGCCAAGCCTGCCTCCAAACTGGTCCAAAGCAGCTCTCTTCCTAGATTTGGGCCACTTTTTGAATAGAAAAAAATGATGAATTGTCAAAATCATGAATAAACAGTGGCAAGTCCGTCCCTATAAGGACGTCCCTCGTTTTCAGGCTCGACAAGTGAGAAATGCAATAGTTTCGAGTACGCCCCCACGCAATATTTATACCAAAAAATGCCGTTACCTTGCATTGTAGTCTGCGTCCAAACGCGCAGAGTTGTTGGCTTCAGCGAACACGAGGTGGCGGGTGATAGGCGCTTCGCCTTCTTCGTTCGTATCGTTCAAACGTTGGATTAGAGCGTATATTTCCCATGTGAGATTGTGAGGCTTATATGAACGGATTCAGTATAGCAGTAAGTCAAGGGTTTATGGTCTTGCAAATGCTGATCCGCGCGAAGCGTCTCTTTGAAATTTGTACACTTGAAATGTAAGATCTTCATGTAACGTATATCAACGACCAGGTCTACCTGTCACGCTTCCTAATTGATATCATGAAGCGCTGGAAAGCTTTGCTTCTAATACGTTTACCAATGCGAGTTTTGTGCTGGTTAAGTCCATAGTGATCATGGATGGATCATGGATCATGGACCAATGGATCATGGTCCATAGTGACATATCACGTGATCAATGGTGACATATGGATTCAAACTTCATCCTGTGCGATTGTTGGCAAGACGCCCTTGTCGCCCGCTGCGTCAATCACAAATCTTCTTTTGTTAGTACCAGTGGAGGTACGCACGGCGGTTGTCATGGTGGCGACGATTGTGACAACTGCAGAGAGGAAATGCAGTGCTCTTACAAAGTGCTAACAGTGTAATTTGGATTCGAAAATAGTTGAAAGTGGTATCCTTGATTATATATTGACGTTGCTGCAGTAGCACTACCCCGTGCTATTTTTAGGCATAACTGGTACTGATGTTTCAGCAGAATGTTTTTAAAATATTTCCGTAAAGATAGGGCCCTTTCTTTCTTTCTTTGAAGAGAGTGCTGGCATTTGTGTGGGGTTTTGACCCGAAATGGTCATTTCGAAGACCTTTCGATGCAGTTGAGAGTCGTGCCATTCTTGGGAACTAAGCCCCTCTAGTTTATGAGCTATAGGCCCGCGAAAATGGGGAGAGTACCCTCTACCCTCGTCACTCTCTATGCTTCTCAAGGTAGTAACTGGGGCAGCGTGTCGGCACTTCGTATTTGTATTCGGTGCTTGCGAAGTAACGTGCGGTGATAAGTAGGTATTTTTGGAAATGCGTGAAGGTCACCGATGTCCCTTTAAGTTACGTGTTCACACTAGAAGCAAAAATAGGGTATTGTTTGAAACTTATTGATGGTCGTGCAAGGGATGTAAAACAATGCACACTTGATAGGATTAGGGTAGGGCTGTCAAAGGACACCCAAACATGGTGTCAGTCGTTTTTGTCAATGATTTGGCATAATTTTCAAGGAGTGGTAACGCAACGTCTTACTGAAGGCTCTCCACGGTATAAAAATAGCAATGATGGCGGCGGGTTATCACTTTACAAACGCATTCGGTGCCTGGCACAGAGTCGGTGGCGATAGAAGTGTATTTATACATCCCCATTGAGACTGCCGGGCACGTAGAAATTGTTCTGGCCCAACTATGGTTTTTAAAATAATGTTATCGAGCGAGGAGAGTGAAAACACTCTTTTTGACAATTCTAGCGCATGGGTGTCAAGACAAATGTCACCCACGCGTTGGCACCTTCCGTTGGAGATGGCGTTATCCCCTCACGCCATATCATGCTTTGGGGGGGGGGGCACGCGTGCAGCATGTCACTCATGCATGCGGTGCCGGTGATCGTAAGGACATGTTTGTGGAAAGCTTGATGTTGCAGGCTGCGCGGAAATAATGGATGTGAGACCATGCTATTATTCCAAAATGGTTTGTAACCGAGTGCCTAGAGTAAGGCCGTTCCTGCTTCCTGACACCAGCACAATGTTGTCTAAGAATAGCCAAATGGTTGATCCTTTGCCGCGGCCTTTTGATTCATAGTTTGACAGGACCACCGCATAGGGCCTTATTGAAATGCGGTCGCGTGCTCTTCCCTTCTAGAAAATGATTGATATTTGTTATACGCTGTGTTGGTCAAGAAGTCTGCTTTGATCAGGAAATATTAAAATTTGTTGAGGTCACTGAAAACGACGCATGCCATGTGGAAACCATGAGACCAAAGATAAACCACTAAACAAGATGGTTTTGAACGTTCTGATGAATCAAGTGCAGCGAAACTTTGCGCGTTTTAAGATATTAGTGCAAGGCTGTGAGAAGACACGCAGACATCAGGCCCGCTTGCCGGCGAATTAAGGTCAGTAACTCGACATGACCCTTACTAGGTGTCTTATTGACGGGAGGCCAGCCAACTTGCGCTTATGCGTGGTTGTAACGTGTGCAGTTGTCATATGTGTGATGTGTATCAATTGCTACTTCGTTGCCCTCTGGCATGGTCGACTTCGGTCTGCATGCTTAGGGCAGAATGTATATGACAGCCGCACCTCGTTGTCGGGTGTGGCCCCGCGTGGTGCGCGAGCAGTCTTGGTTTGGCAACTCTCGTGGCGGGCTGGACCGAGCGCTCAGCCCGACAGTACAGGCAGCTTGAGTTACCTTGTGGAGGGCTCGGGACGGAGCAGAGACATCACATGGCTCGGTAGGTTATTAAAGGCCCGTGACTACGGGACTTCACGTACTTGGCTAGTGGCTACCATGAGCAGTACGCCAGTGAGCAAATTAACGTCCCTCCTGGCCAAGCAGGCGAGAGCAGCGCTTCCGGCTCGAGGCCAAGTCACTGGACTGCAGCGGCTGACCGCGATGGTAGAACTGCTGCTGCCGTTTCGAGACCAACTTGCAATGTCGTCTCGAGCGCGGTCACTCGCTGACGGTAGCATAATTGGTCAGGCTCTCGGGTAAGCCTGTTATCTACGCTATGCGTTTGTCGCCTGCAGCGCCCCTGAAGTGGTTTGACGCGCGGCGTCGACGTTTGGTGGACATGCGCTGCTCGCTCGGCTGAGCTGCTGCCACTGCGATTTGGTGAGCAGCGAGTGGATTTGCTGCCAATAATGAGTGATGATTGGGCACGAATAATACGCAACAGCCTATCCATTACAGCTGAGTCAGATCTGCCGGCGATGCTGAATGCAAACGAGACATTTGCTAATGCTAACGCACGCATGCTAACGCACACGGAGCTAAGCTTGATGCAGTGTCGTGATACCGTCCGGCCACTGGTGCTCCGCTCGCTGGGGCGGCACTCTGCACCGACACACGTCCGATCGGGTGCGGGTTTGTGCATTGACTCACTCCGATAGACACATACAGCGACATCTACCCTGAATACATTGTATAAGCGACGGTCGTGCCATCTCGAGGGGTGTTTTTGCTCCACAGCACCACCCCCCACTTAATAATTTAACCACTCCTGTGGCTTCCGGATTCTCGTTGATCGACGCGGCTCGATGTCTCGCTGTGGTGACCCCGGGTCCGACCGCGTATGCTGCTGCTGCCTCTGTGGGCGCGGCGTGATCCGGCGTGATGTAGTCGGTGGGGTCACCCTCCGCTGCTGTGGTGACCCCGGGTCCCACCACGTCTGCTGCTGCTGCCTCTGTGGGCGCGGCGTGACCCGGCGTGATGTAGTCGGTGGGGTCACTGCCCCCTGCTGTGGTGACCCCGGATCCGACAGCGTCTGCTGCCGACTTGTCTCCGGTGGGATCACCGCCTCCTGCTGCGGGACCCCGAGTCTTCTTTGCTTCAGTCTCCTCTGTCTAGACTACTCTCGCTTCTGTCTCCTCTGTCTCGACTGCTCTCGCCTCTGTCTTCTCTGTCCCGCCTGCTCTCTCTTCTCTCTTGGCTTTCCTCTCTTCTTCCCGTCTTCTTCTCTCTCGGACCGGCGTGGAGCAACTGGTCGGCATGCCGACCCCACACGGCTTCTCCGATGTCGACTCCGTATGAGACCGGGCCGGTTCGTGTCACTATTGTCCCTTTTCTCCATTTTGGGCCAAAGTAGCTCTTTGCCCAGACCTCTTCTCCCTCTCGGAAGACCCGGTGGCTGCCCCCGGCCTCCACCACCTGTTTCTCATGTGATCTATCGGCCCCTGTTCTGTCCGGGCGGATGAGGTTGAATCTTGTCTTAAAGTTTCTTCCGTACAGCAGTTCAGCGGGAGATTTTCCTGTGCAGAAGAGCGGCGTGGATCGATGCACCATTAGAAAGCGTGCCAGCCGCTGTTCCATCGTGCCACCTTCGCATAGTTTGGCCCGTAGCCCGTTCTTAACGGGCTACGATCTGGTTAACTAACTTAACGGTCTGGACAGCCTTCTCCGCCGCGCCATTGCTTTGTGGATGGAATGGCGCCACTCTGATATGCCTGATATCGTTCCTCTTGGTGAACGTCGCGAACTCTTCTGATGTAAACTGTGCCTCGTTGTCCGACACAATTTGCAGAGGCCGTCCGTGTCCGGCGAACAGATTCCTCAGCTCTTCCACCGTCCGTGCTGCCGTGATGGTCTTCATTGTCACAGCCTCGATCCATTTGAAGAAACTGTCAGCGACGATCAGTATCATCGTCCCCTGAAACGGACCAGCGATGTCGACGTGGATGAGCTCCCAGGGCCCTGAAGTCGGCTCCCACAGATGCAGAGTTGACTTTGGCGGTGCCGCTCTCTTCTCCACGCAGGCTGAGCAGGTCCGAGTCTAGACCCGGCCACCATACGTAGCGTCTGGCCAGCTGCTTCATCTTGTTGCCTCCCACGTGTCCAGTGTGCACTTCCATCAGCGCCATCTTCCTCAGCTTGGTGGGCACTATCAAGCGTCCGCCCCAGATCAGGCAGTCTCCTTCCGTCGACAGCTCGTCCTTCTTTTTCTGGTAAACATTTAGTGCTGAGTCCAACGTCTCAGTCAATCCGGTGCGCACATAGTGCAGTACTCGTCCCAGCACTGGATCCCGGCGTGTGGCTGTCTCCGCTTTTGCAGAGCTCAGTGTCGGTCCTTCGTTCTCTGTGTTTAGAACACGGGGGCAACACGTCTCCTCTTCTTCTTCTTCTTCAGCGGACAGATGAATTTGTGACAGCGTGTCCGCGATCCCCATCTTCTCCGACTTGCGCAGCCCCATTTCGTACGAATACGCTGCCAGCTGTAGCGCGTATCTCTGCATTCGCGCCGCCGTCAGACTGGACAGCTCTCGCTGTGAGTGCAAATCATCGATAGGGCCCTGTTGTCCATTATAAGGCAGAAACGGCGTCCGTAGAGGTACTGGTGGAATCTCTTGATCACAAATGATACGGCTACCGCCTCCTTCTCGACGACTACGTACTTGGTCTCCGTCGCCGTCAGCGCTCGTGACGTGTAGCAGACCAGTCTCTCGATCCTGTCCGGTAGTACATGGACCAGTACTGCAGCCATTCCGACTGAACTGGCATCAGTGACCAGCTTGATGGGCAGGCTGGTGTCATATCTCATGAGCACCTTCTCGCTTCTCAAGATCTGCTTCACTTCCTTCACTGCTCTGCTGCACTCTGAGGTCCATTTCCACTTGACATCTTTCTTCATTACGCTGTACAGGGGAGCCAGCGTCGTTGGCATGTTGGAAACCAGTCGCTGGTAGTAGTTTACACTACCGAGTAGTGTTCTCAGCTCACCGACGTCTTTTGGCTCTGGCATCTTCTGCAGTGCTTTAATCTTCTCTGGTACTGGCTTCAGGTCCGTTCCTGACATTCCCCACCCCAGATAGGTGACTTCATTCAGGTTGAGCTTGCACTTGCTGTTCTTCAGCCTCATTCCGTGCTCCTTCAGTCGTGTCAGCACTTGATCCAGGTTCCTCAGCATCTCTGCTTCCGTCTCGCCCATCACCAGGAGGTCATCCAGATAGCCAACACAGCCATCTAGGCCCTCCATGATCCGGTCCATCGCTGGCTGCAAGATGTCTCCACAGGAACAGATCTCGAAAGGAAGACGGTTCATCCTCAGCAGTCCCTTGTGCGTTGTGACTGTCATCATGCCCTTGGGAAGATCGTCCAGCTCGATCAGCAGGTATGCATCCTTCAGATCCTGCTTGCAGAATTTCTTCCCCTTCACTCTGACGAACAGCTCTTCTGGTGTCGGTGGAGGATGCTTCTGAACCATCAGCTGCGGGTTGACTGTGATTCTGTAGTCAGCCGCCAGACCGACAGTTCTATCCACCTTTGGCACAGCGACCATTGGTGTGCCCCAACCAGTGTTAACGTTCCTGTCCACCTTCTCTGCCACTCCTCCACTCAGCCATCTGTCGAGCTCAGCATCCACTTTTGAGAACGGGGCATGTGATACTGACCGTGCTTTCCTGATGACTGGTCTGGCATCTGGCTTCAGTGTCAGGTGAGCTTTGATGCTGACACGCCTGAGTCCCTCTTCGGACACCTCCTTGTGCTTCTCAAGAACACTCTCCAGGAGAGGCACTGGTTCTACGGCTCCAACATCACCCCTGGCACAGAGATCTTCAGGACTTCAATCCAGTCTCGTTCCATCAGGGTTCTCTGTCCAGACATGTCTGCCACCACGAGACACGCTGTCTTCACACACTCTCCCTTCTTGCCTGTCACATCTGCCTCTTCCATCAGTGATATCAGGTGCCCAGTGAACGACTTCAGCTTCAGCAGTGAGCTTCTGAGCTTCAGGTTTGGTTTCTGCACATCTTTACTATGTACACCGGAAATCCTGTATAAGTCAACATCTTAATGTTACAGTCATTGATCAACACATCGGCATTTTCTGAGAATCCAGCAACTTCTTCCCCTTTCACTTCCCAGAGGTTCGGATGCATCTCACCTTATTCCTCCCGTCTTTGAGTCACATCGTGGTTCACAGCATGGACTCTGGCACCTCGTTGCTGTCCTGGTCCTGGTGGTGGCATCCTCGGCTGACAACACCTGGCAAAATGTCCAATTTTGCCACACTTTGCACATTTATTGCCTCTCGCCGGGCATCTGGGACCCATGTTGTGTCCTCTGAACAGACACACTGAGCATTATTTACTTTCATCTTTGGTCTTCTCATCTCTCTTGAACTTGGCTCTCTGTGTCATGTTCACCACTGTTCCTTCTTGTTGCACATCTTGTGTGACACGCCTTGCCTCTTCCCAGACTCTTGCTAGGCTCAGCACCTGCTGCGGGGTCAACTTGTCCCCCTTGTCCAGAGCTTGATGGAGCAGCTTCTCCTGCAGGTTGGATCTGCAGCCAGCGATTGCTCTATCCCGCACTTCAGTCCCAAGGGCTTGACCCTCGAAGCCACACTTCCGCCCCTGAATTCTCAGACGACAGGTGAACTGTTCAAACTTTTCACCAGTTTCCGTGCTCATCTTGTGAAATGTCATTCTCTCGGCAACACATTTTTTTTCTGGATCTAGATAGCTCTTGAATCGCTGCACTGCTTCCTTAAAACAGCCTGTCTGGTCTGCAACTATTGCAAGTGATTAAACAAATACTCAGATAATCTGGCCCCATCATGTGCAATAGCATACCCTTCTGTGGTGGTCAACGCAATGCAGCGTTTTAATCACGTTCTTTGACTTGCCTGTGCCTACCGCGTCGTGTTTGTATATGAATTCGTTTGCGCCAGATCTGGAACGTATGCCAAATATTTCATGTGGGTAATTTTCCGTTTCTGTAATTACCCACTTCATTCGCGTGGGTTGTGGATAGAGTTGTTACTATTATTAATTGTGAATTCCAATTGTTATTTTACTTGTTGTGTTTTACTATGTTCTCGATCGTGTAACATAATCTAATAGTTTTTAGTTACCTGGACGACAGCGCCGCATCGGTCTTGACATCCATGCGACGACGCCGGTAAGACGTGCGCGCTCTGGGAGACAGAAAGTCAAGATTGCCACCCAGTGTCTGAAACTTGGGTGTTTGTTGGTATTTTTAGCCCCAAGACATTTTGTTCTCCACAAGTATACACTGGAGAGAATGTAAAAAATTGTTCTCTGTGAGCGACGTCAGATGGGGGCAAGCTGTTCCTACGACTTCGACAGCATCGCGCGCCACACTGACGACTGAACGAGGGATACTGCTTGCGGGTTACAGCCGAATCTCTCCACCATATCACACATATTCTTTCCTTCCAATGCATTCAGTGTCTTGGCCTGGTGCTGCTCACCAGCACATGTTTAACTCACCTACCGTCCAACGACACCAACGCGCCCATACACCGGGCCCGAGCCCGCACCCAAAACAACAGTGTCTCTTGACGGGCAGGGGAGAAGCGCAGAGAATATCTCGCACACGGCACGATTCAACTTTTCTGGATGGCACGTAGGAATCATAGAAATACAAGAAAAATTGATACGGAAGTAAATGATGTCACCCTTACATGCACCTCTAAATAAAGGGTGAATCAATCATTATTGGTGAACAAGTTATTTTTCATTCGTTTTAAGTAGTGTGTATATTGAAGTTATATTGGAAACTATCGCAAATGGATATTGTATAGAGCGTATAACGGTGACGTCAAACATCATCCCAAACACTCGCTCGGGCACGCGGAAGACCACGGTTCGGCGAGTCTCCGGCTCTTGGGGAGGATTTAGCATTGCAGAGAAGGCATATTCTCCATCAAGAAAGCCGAGCTGAATACATGATAAAATGCATAAAAGGGTCATCAAACAAAAGTATGAAATTTTTCTATCGATCTACAGAGCGTCCTCACAGAATCATGATATGGGCACAAAGCTAAAGCAGTGTTTCTTGTTCTCCGTTGAGGAGAACTTTCACGGCCGTATTTATATAGTTATTTACGTTTCTTGAGATCTACCTTTTATTTAAGTCGGGTTTTGCGAACCACTATCTTTTTTACAAATTCGATGAGGTCCTAAAAGGCATAAAGTGTAGATAGAGGTAATATATGAATTTAGCTCTGCGTCATGCACTGAGAAAAACATTGTATTGGACTCCACGCCGGTGAGTAGATGTAGTGATGCTAACCTTATGCGACTGGATTGCTCTGAGGATGAAATAATTCCTCCGCCCCTGCTGTGCTAGCCTCCGAGCCCCGACCACGCAGCAGCCTGACGTTCCAGGTGGTGTAGTTTTGTACATAACTTCATAGAGCGGGTGAGCAGAGAAGTCTTATATTCCGAACAAATGGTGCAAACCATGTTCTCCCTGATTTTGACCAAGCTTTTTCTTAAAGTTGGGGAGGGGTCGACATCCTGTCCAACAAATCGGGAACTACACACTTGTTCCCAAATCAAGTACGTCTAGGTCAGTAAAAGCCTAAGCGGGTATCACATTGCCCCAAAATCTTCCCTCTGGGTGAGACAGATTGTGCCTGGGCCAGAATGTACCTGCAATAACTGCAATGCCCCAGATGCTCCTATTTATGTTGTAGCTTGCATGACATTTCAATAATAAACTTAGCATTATGTGCTCCGGGGAATGGTGCAACAGGTGCACAACATTTTAAGCATCTACTCCTATCAGCCTTTATTGAGACTGACACCTTTACGATAGATTATCAAGATCAACTTCTTATCAGCTCCATAGCTTAAAAAGTACAGTCGGTGCAGGCACAGACTTAGGAAGGAAGCACTCACTTAGGAAGCTAGAAAATGTAAGAATTGCAAGCAGCCAATTTCTAATGGCCTTTGGCAATCACTGAGACCCGCTAGAGCATGGTGTTCACTGTCATCCGCTGCCAAAGAATGTCCTTTAGTGCCAGCGGTGAATGCAGTGCAAATTCACTTGGGCTTTTTTGTTCTTACTACAAGCCATGATTTCAATATTTTTGTTCTCTTCCCCAATAGCCCAAACCAAATTTCAGATGCTGCGGCCATCCGTACAAATATACATATAAATCGCGCCTCCACCGGTTGTGTCGTTAGCCGGAGATAGCGGGCGGACGGTGACGCGATATTGGCGACCCCGACGTGATCTGAACAGTGACAATGGCTAGAGACCATGACGAGCCCGAGACGCCCGCGCTGTCGCCGGCACCAGCCAGCACGGACGCCATTCACCCACGGCCGCTAGCGTCCTTCCGGCTACCAGCGTTCTCGCCGGAAGATAACTCTGGCTGGTGCAGGTGGTCTGCGCATTCGATGCATCCGGCGTCACGGACGCGGCCACCAAGTTTCAG